GAATGAATCACATTAAAATTATTTTTTATTATTATTAGTATATTTATAAATCATTTTTTCCTCATCGATAACTTTTCCTCTATTCAAAATACTTTCTAATTATTCTATCCACCCTCGGTGTTTTTTTAATTGTTACCAGCTGCTGCTCAGATTGAATTTTTCCTTTGCTTTTAAGCAGCATGAGATATTGTGGCTGTCTGTCTGAATGGGGTTAATTCGATTATCGATATCAATAGCAGTAGCAGGCGATAATTGATTTTAGCAAACGCTGCAAACGATTAATTGAACGCAGACTTGGCCCAGAGGCTCAATGGACCAAGGGGACTACAATTGCTTTGCTTCTCCATATAACACTCACACACACACACACACACACACACACACACACACACACACACACACACACACACACACACACACACACACACATACTCACGCACATATACACTCACTCACTCACATTTATTGCCAAACAATTGAAGCCCAGTGCTTGGGCTATTCCATTGTTGTCTTTTTTACTGCTGAGCTGTATGTGTGTGTGTGTGTCTGTGTGTGTGTGTGCACTCAAAATAATAGCACAGCACATAGAAGACAAGTACCAGGCTCCACTTTGGGGCGAACTCAGGCTTGACTCCAAAGCAGGCTTGGGCATTGCGCGAGGGGGAAGTCAGGCGGTCGGCAGATGGCAGGAGGCAGGAGGCAGGAGGGGGGAGGCTTGACTGCAGCCTGTAATGGCAGCATTTACTCAATTTTAGTACATAGTAAACGTATTTCTTTTATGGCCCCGAGGTTATTTGTGCACTGCAGACTTTGCTGCGTTCTATATTTATTTTTCAGTGTCCAGTCGCCCAGTATTCTAGCTTCTGTTTCCAGTTGCCAACTCTCAGTTCCTAGTTCCCGTTTACCATGCCCATTCCATTCCTATTCTCGTACCCATTCCCATTCGTACACAAACAAAGCTACTATATATCCTGACACAATATAAACGAACTTCGTTTCCTGAGTGGCCATTTTACTGGAAGACTTTTCATATGTATGTCTAACCACCCATTCGCCTAGCCATTCACGTCCATTCGTGCCCCCGCTCCTCCTAGCCCTCACTCAAAACCTTGGCAAATACTCGCAATACAAAATATGATAAAGCGCTCGCTCACATCGCTGGAGCAGATGCTGTTGTTGTTGCCTTTGCTTCTGGTTTGCTTTTAATTGCTTTGAAGTAAACACTGAGAAATGCCCCTCGGTACATTCATAAATATAATTGCCAGTCAAAAGATGCGGGGAGAGGGCAGCTACAAAAGTTTTCGAATTGCTGCCAAATTAAAGGCCACACCATAAACTTAACCAAAAGTATGTGCACGTGTGTGGCTGCGTGATTTAATTTAATAATGCAAAATATTAGTTCATATATTTACAGCCAAAGGTAATTGTATTAGCGATTGTTTAACAGGAATTAAAATAAATAATCTTGTACATGATTTTCAGAATTATTTATGTAATTTTAAATACGTTTATTTTTTTCCATTCGATTTACATGCTATTATATTTAATTATATTTTATTATTATGTATCAATTGTAAAATATTTGTTTGTTAATTATGAAAAAATCTTTTAGCAAAAAATTAAGCTTTAAATTATTATAGAACAAAATATACAGACAAAAGACTCAAAGCGTTGGCAGCTGCATTAGGCCATAAATTTATGGCCTAAAAAGTAAACAGTAAATAAATGTTTATTGTTTTTGTTTCATTCGTTAGCTTTCGCAGCTCTTTTTGCAATAATTATTTAACGTTTTACATTGTTTAGTCGGCGTTTTTGTTTGCCTGCCTGCTTGTGTGTGTATGTATGTGTGTGTGTGTGTGTGTAAACCGGCTTTTGTTTGTTGTAAAGATTTAAAGCGATTTGCATATTGTGCAAACGTTTCATGAATGATTCATGAGTATTACCCAAACAGATGCTAACAATGATTCGATTTTCTATGTCGGCAATGTCACAAGGACACGACTCTGAAAATATGATATGTATATATATGTAAATGTATATAGAAATATATTCATATATAGGTATTTAGTACATTTAGGTGAAAGCCTGAGTATTTAAGTTATGATTAAAATATAAATATTTATTGATACGAAATTCCATTAATATTTAAAGCTCGCATTCGAATTAAATTTATATATATTTTATGTTGAATTTGAAATAAATTAATATGCGTGAGCTTAAATGTCAGAATATATACATATATATCTTAAGCTGTGGAAATTTTGTTATTACATACTTTTGTAGAGTTTGCTTTAGCAGAAAAGGTAAATGCAAAGCATTCCGCTTATAGGATACACGCACACACACACACACACACACGCACATTGTGAAGAATGGTAAGTATTCAGAATGAAGTTAAAGATGAGTAAAAAAA